GCAGGACCGGGCGTTGTGTTGCACATGGGGTGGCCGTGAGTTGGTGCTGACTCAAAGACAAGTATTGGCAATAGTATCCGGTAGGCGGTCATTGTGGGGTCCCTGACACAGATACGCCCAGCCTCAGTCACCCCATCACCGCCACTGAGTTGAGTCCAACTTGTAAAACAGGACCCCAGGAGGGCTCAGGCCACCTTCTCCTCCCCAGCCCACCCCAGGCACCCTCCTTCCCTGGTGTTTCAGACCCTAGGAGCCCAGACACAGAACTTCTCACACATATAGGGAGGGTCAACATGGCTCTCCATCGGGAGTATGCCTGTGGGTTGAACTGTGCCCTACAAAGGGATGCTGTCGGTTCGGTTCCAGACCAGTGCAATAAAGCAAAGACCGCAATCAAGTGAGTCAAATGATTTCTCTCATTTCCCAGGATTTCCCAGATGTTTCAGTAGTCTACGAAGTATGAAATATAAAAAAGATAGAAATAGCACGAGAATGACCAAAACATGACCAGCAACCCTAACTAAGCTCACACTATTGGGAAAACAGTGCCGACAGACTTGCTCGATGCAGCGCTACCACAAACCTTCAACCACAAGATCTGAGTAGGGCATTTAGACAAGATCTGCCTGCATGTTGAGTCCTAAACCCGGTGCCTGCGAACATGCCTTGTTTGGAAACAGGGTCTTTAAGGGTGTCATCAGCACCTAATCCTATCTGAGTGGTGCCCTTATAGGAGACACAGACAGACAGAGGGAAGACAGCCACGTGAAGACAGAAGCAGGGAGTGGAGTGGTCTTCCACAAGCCCAGAAAGACCTGGGGTCCCCAGAAGCTGAGAGAGACCAGCAAGGTTCCTCCCTGGAGCCTTCAGAGGGAGCTTGATGCTGCCAACACCTTGATTTGGATTCCTGGCTTCCAGAACTGAGAGATAACACGTTTCTGTTACCACCCATTTGTGGTCCTCCATTACAGCTGCCCCAGGATACTTAGACAGGCTCCCAGGAGCCCGGGGATGGACAGGAGGGCATGGTGAGCACCAAGAGCTGGCCTGACCTCCAGAGCCCACACGCCAGCCAGCTATCCGCAGCACCTTCTGGAACATCCTAGTGATGGACTCCAGCCCACATGGATGTTTTTCCATACTTTGATTTTTTTAAAGTTACATTTAGTTGGAGGTAGCTTCAGCCAAAGGCACAATGAAAACCAGGTTCACGTAGGTGAACCCTCAGAGGAAGACTTCAGTGAGAGAGGGACTGTCCAGTGCCCGAGGGTCTGAACTGAGATGCTGAAAGAGTGAAGTTACCACCACAATCCTCCACAGCCTTCATGGTGTCTGTTCTTCTGCCCAACAACCTTCAGTCCCTCCAGCATCCAGAGACCTTGCCCATAGTAGGTGGTAACGTGGTGGAAGATGTTGTGAACTTCCTGGTTCCTTAAGAATCCGGCCTCTAACTAATTAGCTGGAGTAGCCCATGTCCAGTGTGTGTGTGTTGGGGGGGGAGGGGAGGGGAGGTCACACCCCCTGAGTGACTCCTTTTGTGGGCAGCTGCTTTGTTCCTCCAGGCCTTGAGCCAATTAGTGCTGGATTCCGCTCAAGTGTCCCCCCAGTAGATCCATTAGTATCTGAACTTTTGTCCTGCGGAGTGATTCCCTTTGTTCATCCTCCAGCTCAGACCATGCTGAGTCCTTAAGATCCAATTCAGGCCAAAGGCAGCCCTGGACCCTCACACACATTGATTCTTTCTCCTTTCAAGCAATTCCAAGGGCGGAGTTCAGCATGCTGTACCTACAATTGTGTGTGATGGAGACTCAGCCGCAGAGCTGCACACATAAACTCAGGTGGACTAGAAAGGGATAAGGACCCGGCCGTAACCAGGCAGCCAGCCCAGCTATAAATAAACCGCCACTGCCCCAAACAGCTGTGCTGAGTGTCACACAGAACAGCAGGAATTTGATCGAGTGGCTATGACCGGGAAGACTGAGTAGAGCTGGAGAACTACAGGAATTCTTCCCCGATTCAGCAGTATTTCTGGGTTCATGCTTGAAATGAGCACCTGGGAGGTGAAGCAGAGCAGAGTGCTCACCTGGCCAGGATTCCTATTGTCAACTTGATTGTGAGGTCCGGCTGGCTCTTGGCTATGTCCCCAGCTCCCAAAACACTAGCTCTTCTTTTGAACATTACTGCTGCGGGTCACCATGACTTTAAGTGTTTCTTTTTATCTCACTCACACCCAAAAGGAGGCCATCATTGGACCCACAATCCCTAGAGATTTTGGGGGCTCCTGGCCGGGGGCTGTCTGCCCTGGGTTCCCACGTGCCTCTTAGAAGGATCTCCCTTGCCACTGTTCACCCAGCTCTGGGTTAAAGGGGCAGGGTCTCCAAGAAGCAGACTCCTCAAGTCTAGGGACACAGATTTACCCAGTGAAGCTGCTCAGTCCAGGCAGCTTGGCCTCCACCCCAAATCCCCACTCAGGTCCCACACCCAGAAAGAATCTGAAAAAAGCATGGCCTTGGGTAGGTGTAGGGGTGGAGAAGAGGTACTCCACCCATGGACATGGACAGCTATGCCTCCCAGAGCACCTCTAAGCACCTGGGCCTGGCCACTCCAGCGAGATAAGGTCCTGTTCTCTGAGAAAAAGGTGTGTTCCCCAAGAGCACGTGCTGCCTGACCTATAGCACCGCTCACAGGCCAGGTGTAGGGTATCCCACCCTCATTTGCCCAGGCTCTATCTCATGCCCACTTCTCCAACACCTGAAACTTTACAAGAATGCTGTGACATCAGTTAGAGGCACAAGCCCCTTCCTTGGATTTTAGGGGGACATGTTTGGGCTTTGGGGAAGTCCAGATGATGTTCCATGAATGATGTTCTGGTAAAGATTACTGCCTTGGAAGCCCTACGCAGGGTCGTTATGCGTTGGAACCGACTGGACGGTACACAGCACAGATGGTGCTCAGTGCACTCCCTGTGGGGTGCACACCCTGCGTCTATGGGCACCCCGAGTGGGATCCTAAAGATCCCATCCTACCCCCCGTGTCTGCAGAGAGATTTGAGCGCCTGCTCGAAGGAGGAAGCCAACTTTCAGCCAGCCAAGTCGGTCTTGCTGCCCACAAGTTTTGGCCAAATCCAGGTTTGCTGTCCGGTTGTGGACTCCACACCATGACCCCCTCCTACATCCTGGGGAGGAGACAAGGGCTCTATAGGGCCATGGATCTGCCCAAAGTTTCCATGGGGTTGGAATTCGCACCCAGACTGAGGGCACAGCAGTGGGCACTTGGAATCCATGGTCCTGTCTTGGTGAGGGAACAGGGTGAAATGGCCAGTCTAATGCTCGACCACACAGCTCAGGGCCAGCTGGGCTGTGAGCCACAAGGCCAAGCAGGGAGTGACCCCTCATGGGACAGTGCTGCGGGTAGGGATCTGACAAGTTTTCACACTTCTACCATTTTACTACATCCTCCTGATCCCCACCTGGCAGACAGGTAAACTGAGGCAGAGAGATACCCACACCTGCCTCGCTGCCCTGTCCTCTGTGACAGAAAAAAATCTGCATTCCAGACCCAGGCTGGATGCCATCTGTTTGAGAAGGTTCTCCTCGACCCTCTCCCCAGTGGAGGTCAACTTCTCTCTAGAATTTGTACATGAGTCAAGACCACCGCCGCCACCAACAACAACAACAACTCAGCTGTGGATCAAAGTCCAGAGAGCATCTTCAGGGACTAGCAGGGACCCTCAAAGACAACCAGCCCCCAAGCCCCATCTCGAGGCCTAACAAGGACCTTCAAAGTGACTAGCTCCTAAATTCCATCTCCGGAAACTAATGGGGACCCTCAAAGATGATGAGACCCATATCCCATCTCTCGCTGCTAACAGGGACTTTCAAAGATGACCAGACCCCCCAGTTCCATCTCCAGGGACTAACAGAGACCCTCAAAGATGACCAGCCCCATCTCCAGGGACTAACAGAGACCCTCAAAGATGACCACCCACAGACCAATCCCATCTCTGAGGATTAACAGGTACCCTCATAGATGACCTGTCCCCTGGTCCCACTTCTGGGGACTGATGGGGACCTTCAAAGAAGACTGCCCACATATCAGCTGCTGACATTCCCCTGAATCAGTGGTCCGGCTCAGCAGGTAGGTAGTCACTGTGCCTTCAAGCTCCAAACCTTACACATTCCCCGTCCAACAGACAGCCTTCTCCCACCAGAGGCAGGGGGGCTCATCCAGAACATAAAACCATGAGATCACCTTATTCCTTTCCCTGTGCCTAGTCAGTGCCCTCCTAGGGAGTCTAGGAGTCAGCACAATGCCGCAGGGGGCAGGGTTGAGCTGCCATCTCTCTCTTCTTTCTCTGTCTCTCACTCTGTCTCTGTTTGCCTTTCTGTCTCATTGTTTGTGTGCCCCTCTCAGTTCCTGTTTCTCTATCTCTCTACCTGTCGATCTCTGTTTCTCTCTATCTGCCTTTATCTATCTATTTGGCTATCTTTCTGTCTACCTATCTGTGTGTGTCCATCTGTTTGTTTCTCTGTCTCCCTCTGCCCCTCTGAACCCCTGTATTTCTCTGTGTGGGTCTCTGTCTGTCTCTGTCTCTCTGTTTATCTCTCTTTGTGTCTTTCTCTGTTTTTCTATCTTGCTGTCTCTCTGTTTGCCTCTCTGCTTCTGTCAGTCTCTGTTTCTCTGTCTGTGTCTCCCTGGATCTGTGTGTGTCTCTTTGTCTCTGTCTCTCTGTGTCTTTATCTGTGTTTCTCTGTGACTCTCTCTGTGTCTGTCTCTCCAGCACCACCAACTTCAGGGGAGTCGCCCAGCCAGAGTTACGAGTCTCCATCTGGTTCCTCCTCCCAGCCTAGCAGCTCCTGGTTGCTCAAGGCTGAGCTCAAGCCATCTGGAGGGGATGGTATGACCATGAGTAAGGACTCCCCGCTCCCCTTGAAGGCTGAGCCACCCTGAGCAACTGAGTCCACCCCTACAGACCACAGGTACACGCAAAGAGCACCTACCCACACTGGTTATCTTCTGAGAGCCCAGGTCGTGCAATAATGCCTCGATGGCAGGGTTGTGTCTGGAGTAGAGCTCATAACGGTTGATGCCAATGTGGAATTTCAGCCAATTGGGGTATGCGTCCACAGCCGTGCCCCCCGTAGGTAGGAATTCTGCACCTTCGTTACCCTCCTGCGGCCTGTAGGAAGCAAAGGTGATAAGGAAAAACACATCTGCACATGAGCCAAAGTCCATAAAAAGGACAGGACAGAGTGAGGATGAAGGGTCAACGGGGCTAGTCGGATGCTGAGGCTTCAAGTTTGGGTTCAGACACTTGCAGATCAAAGATGAGCTGGGTGTTTGTGCCTTCCTTCGAGGGTGCTTGTTCTACCTGTTAATAACACACCCTGAGGCCATGATTCCTACTTACCCTCCGCAGACGCCCCAGACAAACTACAACTAAGGCTAGACTAGCCCTGAGCACCAATGCCAGCCAGGCCCATCTGATCCAGCAGCACCAGCCCAGGCCTTCAGGAACCTTCCCTAGCCCTTTGTGCCACAAAACAGGGTTAGAATGATGTCAGAGGCTGAATTTGATTCTAACTAGAACAACCCTGGATGGAAACAGCAGGCTTCAAGTCTCCACTCACTTGCCTGTGCATACATCCCTGAGGTCAAGGGTCAATCTGGCAGAAGGCAGACCCTCTTGTCTGTCTGCTGGCTGGAGGGAGACTGGATTTGTCTTAGCTTTAATTCACCTGGCAGCTCTGTCCTGCAGTGGACCCAAGAAGTGTCCAGGTGCCTCAGAGGCTGTGGCTGCTGGCCACTGGGAGGACTGCAGCTGGTCACTGCTTTGAGTCTCCAGTTTCGGAGTGTTTCCTCAGGCCCGCGCAGCACACAAAGCTCAAGCCACCCAATGCTGCCATTACGGCTTGGGGAGAGGGGATTCTCTGAAGAGCTTTTGGTAAGTTGCCCCTCTCCACTCCACCCCCAGCCCAGTTGCTTGGGTAACCTTTTGCAGGTTGTTGTTTATTCTGGCCTCCTGGTAGTTAATATTTCACCACTCAGATTGCTGCATCTGCTTTTTAGAGGAGCTCTGGTAGCGTAGTGGTTACGAATCGAGCTGCGAACCGTAAGCTCAGCGGTTCGAAACTACCAGCCGCTCCGCGGGAGAAAGATGAGGCTTTCTACTCCCGTAAAGATTTACACCCTCGGAAACCCTGTACAGGGTCGCTATGCGTCGGACCCGACTCGATGGCACTTAACAACAACACAACAGAGGTAAAGGTTGAAGCTGGATGGTTTAAAAAGATGCTCTGGGGGACCACTTCCCTGCCCTGCCTTGTAATAAGCTTGGCATCTGCACAGCTCCCAGCCTGCTAAGAGGGAGACCCCTTTGTTTCCCTCACTCACTCCTGACTCATTCATTCCTGCCTAACCCACTTCCCAGGCTAGTGACCAGGGTCTTCAGGGCAGGGTCGTTTCTTTGAAAATGAAGCTCTGGAATTCTCTCCCTCTCTCTCTCACACACACACACCCTGGAGGTTCCCAGTCTCTGTCCACCCCTGCCAATGTCTAGAAAAGCGCCCCACCACTCAGCAGCCCCCTAGGGATCCAGTCTGGAGACAAAGGCAGGACCCGAGTCCTAGCCTGCAGTCCCACAAACCTGTTCACCGGTCTCTTCCACCGTGGCTTATGCCCTCTGGAGGATGTCTGAGCCCCTGGGACTGTTTGCACACCTGAGTGCAAGGACATTTCCTGGGAGTCAGGCACCCCTGCTGATCTCTTTTTTTTTTTTTTTCCCCAAAGGGCACACGGTTCCCTTACGGGTCAGGTCTACCTGCACCCACCTAACCTGCATCCCCTCGGTAACAGGTGAGTCCCCCACTCACCAGTCGGGGTTCTCGACTGCCTTGGGGTTGAACCGGATGTCACTATTGACATTAAACAGGACGTCGTCCCCTGTTAGTGGAGGGACGGCCACCCGGTAGAGGGGATGTTCAAACAGTCTGACCAAGAAAGAACCATCCCCGCCGGGGCCCGGAGGCGGCGCCGACCTCCGCGGACCATGGTCTCGGAGCAGCGGCCGGTGCGCGGGGTCGCGGGGCTGTGCGGAGCCAGGGTCCTGCCCTCGCCAGGCGCCCTCAGCCGGCTCAGCCGCGGGCGGCAGCTTCTCCAGAGAGTGGGACGTGAGGTTGGAAGAAGGGTCGGAGCTGAAGTCCTGGAGGATGCGCAGCGTGTGCTTGTTGGGCCAGCCAGGCTCGGCGGCAGCGGCTGGGGGCTCCACGGGGTGGCCCCGCGCCTGGGCCCAGCCAGGCGCCACCGCCTCGGCCACGGGCTGCGCGCACGAGCAGCCGGACTCTCCCGGAGGGCGCGCGCCGCGTCGCTCCAGTTTGGGTAGCAGATCCAGCACGATGTGCAGAGCGCAGGCCACTAGGAACACCATCAGGATGAGCACGCGGAACCTGCGCACCAGAATCATCTTCATGGCCGCGGACTAGCGACCTGGGGTCGGGCTCCCTCAGGAGCGCCGCCAGCCCCTCTAGCCTTGTCTCCACTAGGACGCGGCGCCGCCTCGCGGGTCAAGGTCCATGCGGCGCTGGGACAGCTACCAGCCGCGGCGCGGCGCCCGGGCCTGGACCCCACAGAAGGAGCCCGCCACCCGAGCCCCAGCCCGCCGGTCCATCCTGACGACTGACCCTCCTGGCTTCTCCTGATGGCCGCGCCCTCAGCGGCCAGGCCCCGCGTCCCTGGTCCGTAGAGCTCGGGGTGCAGGAGGTGGCGCGGGACGCGGCGGACCGGGGGCCCTGGGGCGCAGCCGGGGGATGCCCGGGCGCACGCAGTGGCCGGCGTGGAGCTCCGGGGCCGCGGCCGAGCTCATCAGGGGCGCGGGGATCCAACGCGTCTGCCCATCCCAGTCTAGGGTGCGGCGGGCCTGGGTGGTGGCTGAGGCTAGGTGCGATCCGATCCCGGCGCGGTCCCCGCCGTGGGCTCCGGGCGGGCTGAGCGAGGCGGCTCCTCCGGACAGCTTTGGGGCAGGGCTCGGCGCTGTCACGCTCGGCCGAGAGGCGGGGACTGGGAGGAGAAACCAGGGCGCGAAGTCGCGGGAATAGAGCACTGGGGACGAAGAACTAAGGTGGGCGCGGCAGGACGGGCAGGTGCAACGGCCGCTTTCTGGAGCAGCGGCTCCCACACGCCCTAGCCCCTCGGTGCGCCCCCCTAGAGCCGGGCAGACAGATATTCCGACCCGCGGAGCCGCCCCCCGCGTCAGAGCGCGCGGATTGGCGGAGCAGTGGCCCTGGCGAGAGTCAGGGCTGAGCCCGGCCCCACTTGCTCGCTCACTCCTTTCTCCTCGCGTTGGCCGCTCCCGCGAGGCCTCTGCAGCCTGGAGCCGGCGAAGAAAGGGCGCCTCTGCCCGCTGTCCGCAAGGAGAAGACGGAGGAGTCCGGAGAGGGGTAGGCGGGGAGCCGGGTCACTACAGACACTGGAGAAAAGGCGCGCCGTCCGGCCCTTCCCAAAACCCCCACTTGGGCCCGACCTGCGTCCTACCGACTCCTTCCAAGATGGGCCTAGGCCCCAGACCTAGGCCAAGTCCCTCCCCAGAGCAATGGGGCGTCTGCACCGCCGGATGCGCTCCCGCAGCGCGGCCACCTTTCGCCCTGAGCTGGGCCAGCAGAAAGAAGAAGGGGCGCTGGGGCAGCTGCAGCGGCGGGAGAAGACTCGAAGTCTGACTAGAGGAACATGATCATTGGCCCAAATCCGGACTGAACGACAAAAAACGCCCAGACTCTGCTCTCAGCAGGTCCCCACCCCACCCCACCCCACCCCAATGGGACACGCCCGCGCCTTAACCCTGGCCGCCCGGGCGCTCAGAGCTAGGATTTACTTGGCACGAGTGGTACCCAGCACCTCCCTCGCGTGGGCGGTTCCGTATGTGTGTGGGGGTGGCCGCCCTCACCCACGTTTCTCCTTTGCCTCACCCCGTGCGCAAAGTGGACAACCCCCACCCTCAACGTGGCCTCCTCTGTGATCGCAGGACTTCTGGCCCTCTACCACCAATTGTTATTAAGTGCCATAGAATTGATTCCGACTCATAGCGACCTTGTGTAGGGTTTCCAAGGGGTGGCTGGAGGGTTTGAACCTCCAACCTTGAGATTAGCAGTTGTTGTTGTTGTTGTTAAGTACCGTGGGGTCGGTTCCGACTCATAATGACCCTGCACAGGGTTTCTGAGGCTATAAATATTTACGGGAGCAGAAAGTCTCATCTTTCTCCCTTGGAATGGCTGGTAATTTCGAACTGCCAACCTTGAGGTTAGCAGCCCAATTTGTAATCTCTACACAGTAGGAGATATTAATTGATATTAATGTCAGCCCTGGGGGGAGGGGGACAATTAGGGAAGTGAGTGTCTGGGAGAGGCAAGGGAGCGGTAAACACATTCTCCATCAAGCTGTAGGCCGTCTGACCAGCCACTAAAGTGGCTGCAAGTTTCCCAGAGCAGATGGATGGAGGAACCCTTCCAGCTCACACCCTCTCCAACGGTACTGAGGGGCGTGGCCTTGGGCAGGGACTAGGGTCTGGAGCCCCCATTCACTTTCTTGTTGTATTGAGGGACATCTCATCACTCTTTACTGCTCTGTGAAGTAAGGGCATTGGGACATTATTTATGGGCCCTTCCTATGAACCCTGGTGCAACACCTGATATTTAGTAGGCACCCACTAGATATATACTTGTCTCACAAGAACGGTGGCCAACTGGCCAATGAAATAGGAAATCGATGCGGCTTAGTTTGTCTGAAGTTAGTGAAAGAGCCAGCAACTGTTGGGGGATTGGGGGGCGAGGCTGCATGGGGCAAGGCAGTCTGTGCAGTGGAGCCCAGAGGGGTCAGTACATTAGAGACAGTGTTTCTCAAGTGTCTCAGCATTCATTTTTTCATTGAATTCCATTTTGACACTATATGTACCCTGGGATAGTACCAGAGCAAAAGCCAGCACCAATATGACTCCTGCTTTCCAGTCTGGTTGGGGAAACAGGCGGTGAGGAGAAAAGAAACAAAGGAGACTCAAGATACAGCTAGGTTATGTGTGGATGCGTACGTGCTTGTACGTGTCTGTGCTTGCATGCCTGTGTGCACAGGAGTGTGTGTCTGCATGTCTGTACCTAAATGCATGTGTGCATGTGTGTTTGCTTATGTGTGTGTGCTGTGCATCTACAGAGCTGCACCTGAATGTCTGTGCATGTGTGCCTGGACCTGAATGTATGTGTGTGTGTGTGCTTACACATGTGTGCTTGTGTGTTTGTGTGTACAGGTGTGTGTCCATGTGCCTGCATCTAACTGCATGTGCATGTGTGCATGCATGTGCACGTATGTGTTTGTGCACAGATGCTGAATGCATGTGTACATATGCATGTGTGTGCTTGTATGTGTGTATCTCTGTTCCTGTACCTGAATGTATGTGCATGTGTGTGCACAGTGGGTGTCCATGTGCCTGTACTTGAATGTATATGCATGCATGTGTGCTTGTGTGTGCATGTGCACAGGTGTGTGTGTGTACATGTCTGTACCTGGATGTATGTGTGCATATGTGTTTTGTGTGCTTGAATGTGTGGGTATTTGTGTGTGCACACAGACATGTGTGTCTACGTGCCTGTGCTTGAATGCATGTACATACATGCATGTGTGTCTCTGTGTGTACTTCTATTATATGTCTGTATACTTGTATGTGTGTGCATGTTGTGTGTCTACATGCCTGTACCCGAAAATGTGTGTGCAGGTATGTGTGTGTGCAGTGTGTGTCTACATGTCTGTATCAATGCATGTATGCATGTGTCTGTGCACATGTTTTACTTGTATGCATGGGTAGTTCTATGTATGTGTACACAAGTGTATGTCTGTGTGCCTGTACTTGAATGTATATGCATTCGTGCATGTGGATGTCTGGGGGTCATTTGTATATGTGTGTATACACTGAATTATCTTAATTATGTATGTCTACGTGCCTGTACCAGAATGTATGTGCATGTGTGTACATGTCTGAGTGTGTGTCCATGTATGTATGTCTGCATGTGTGGGCATGTGGGGGGGTGTCTGCAAAAGTTTGTCTGAGTGTGTGTACCTGAATGTGTATGCATGCGTACGTCCATGTACCTGTGTGTGTGTGTGCTCAGGGGAAGAAGCAGCTTCAGACAGTGTTATCCAGAAAGACCTAGGAGGCAATATTTATGCTGAGACCCCTCTTCAGCCAGGTGATATTTTGGGGGAGAGTTTGGGATTTGGGGTAGGAAGGAGCTGGGGCTGGGACAACCCAGCAAGCCTTTCCCTTGGAGTTCTGGAACCTTCCTGAACTCATCCTTCCCACTGTTTTTGGTTCCTGACTGCAGAGCTGTAGTTCAGTGACTTCAGGGCAGACCTGTGGGTCGGCTGACCCATCAACACTCAGACATGGGGTTTCAAGGGTCCCCATATGCCCCTTACCCCCTGAGAGTGATGCTATCTTGGCTTGTCCACAGCTGGGTATCTCCCTGACCAGTTAGTCCACTCTCTCCCATCTAGGGGTCTTCTGAAGAGCCACCACCTGTTTATTTTCCCATTGACTCCCATTGCTCTCTGAATCTGTCATCTTTTTTCCTTTGTGTCCCCTGAACACACATGCTCTGACAAAACAGGAGTCTCCAACATCCTTTTTACAGCCCTGCTCTAGGGGCCTGCAAGGGCCTGCATTGGGACAGTGGTTCAGAGAGATACCTCCAGCCAGGACCCAGTGTGGACTGGACCAGCCACAGACTCTGAGATGCGCATGAAACTAAACACACCACATGAGACGCAGGGCACCATGAATTGACTGGGACTTCCTGCCCAGCTGACTGTGCTCGACTCTGAGGGGTGAAGTGATTTGATTCCCAGTGACTCACCATGTAGAATACAGACACATGCCTGGTGCTCATTAGGGTCTCTGCTTGCTGGACTATAGGCTGTGGGGGCAGGGGAGTCTGCAAATGAGAGTCTCCCAGCATATATCAGGTCTGGGAGCTTTTGTCTGCCAATGGGAAGTATTAGGTGGTGACAGGAATCCTGCTGGGTATAGAGAAAGGGGACTAGAAAAGCTGGGATAGGAAGTTACTACTTCATGCAGGTGGGTTGGAAAGTCCCTGAGAAGGGGATATTTTGATGGATCAGGGTATCTGGGCGAATAATGCCAATGCCAAAGTCAGGTCTGGAGGGGACTGATGGCATGGGAACCAGGAGAGTCCAATTTGAGGGGCATTAGGGGATCAGGGCCACGGGCCAGTTGAGGGTGGTCTGGAGCAGGACGGAGGGAGTGGGGATTTTGGGGTCCCAAATGACAGACTGAGCAGTGGGGTTGTGAGAAGTGTGGGACCCAGGGTACCTACAGGTCAGCAAGAGGCCCCCTGTGACACAGGTGATCCTGTGTAGGTGCTGGGAATTTGACCCCGCGTGTATTTAAATGGCCATGGGACCCATGGAATC